AATTTATGTTTGCAAATGTTCATTTTATAGGGAATTTATGTCTATTATAAGAAAGTATTATGTACAGCACATACGTAGGTACTAACTGTGTAATGTGGATTATTCCATTTATCAAAAGCTACAATTTTGATCACGGCTTTTTTTATGATATCAAGCGATGGGACGAACAAGCCGTGCGTCCGGTGGCAATCGACACGCCTATCCATAACAGTTGTACTCAGAGTTTCAAATCGCAAAGACCCGAGGGGCACTACCACTGTGCCCGTCGTCGCCCTGAGACATGTTGACAAGTCCCATGTGATTGTAATTTCACCAGCACCCTTACCCTTCAAAACCTAAAGATAGTAATGCTCACATTACTGCTTGACGTCCGAAATAGGTAAGGTGGCAGTATTTTCCTGGACGAACTCTTTAACAAGGAGCTCTAGTGTTGCTAAGCTAGAACTGCCTAAATGGGTCCTACTCTTGTGGACCCCTATTGACTTCTCATGCATCCCGTATTTCTTGCTTTCGTTGATATGGAATGATATAAAATTTGGGAATCATCGCACGAAATACTTGTTCAACCAGAGAGACGTTTTCTCTCGAAATAATTGCTTCAAGTCATTACAATGTAATATCGTCACTACCAAGATGCCAATAAAAAGACGATTACATAGTAGTGTTTTTTTTAGAAAATTAGAATCGAATTTTTATTGTTTTGATCGTTGTAAATATTCCTATGTAATACTTACTGTATTATGTAATTATTATGTTCGATAACTGTTATTGAATCGAAAAGCACCATGGCCTTAAACCAAGAGTTCACGTAACCGGACCGGTTATGAAAGGAAATGGGTAATAAAAGTTGGAGAGTAATTTCGGATTTCATAATTTTCCGCCTTTCCTTCCTTCTTTCCTTTATGTTTTTAATAAAGACACATGTAAAGATACGACAAAAACATGTGACGATTTGTCACATAAAAATAATACAAAATATGTGAAATGATGTTAAATACGTAGAAATCTTAGAGAATATAGAGAATTAGAGTATAAATTGACATTTTGCAGAGATTGCACCCCCATGGGTGCAATGTGCAGTATTCCTAAAGCTTAAGGGCTCATTTAACAACTTTACTTATGATTATTTTTGAACTTTAATTATAATTGATGAATGCACTGTATTTGTATTATATATATATTATATTATCATTTCAATGCGTTCTTTTTGGCAAGAATAATTTATTAACGATTTTATCATTGCAGAATATTTCATATTCATTCATCATCATCATCAAAAAATCAATTGTGATTATTGATTAACTAAGAAGAGAATAACAAAAGTTGTTGTTTCTAAAACATAATTTCGAACTTCTTTCGGAACTATTACGAGTATCATTTAGTAGCAGTAGAACTCCTTGTGAAAGAGTTCGTCCGGGAAAGTATTGCCACCTTACCTATTTCTACCGCCAAGCACTAATGTCAGTATTACTGTATTCCGGTTTTAAGGGTGCTGGTGAAATTACAGGCATGTGGGACTTGTCAACTTATGTCTCAGGGTGTCGGGCGCAGGGGCAGTGCCCTTCAGATTTTTGCGATATAAAGCTCAGAGTGGCAGTGCAACTGTTATGGAAAGGCGTCTAGCTTACCATCAAGCGCAAGACTACTTCTTCGCCCCGTCACTTGATTAAAAAAAATGAAAATATTTACACCAGCTTTATCAAATGGATGAGTTAACTTACTTACAATTTTGTCTATTGATCTAGTTTTACAGAATTGCACTTTATAAACACGTTTATATCCAGGTACAATGTACAACACTTGCACTCAAACGTAGTCCATCAAAATGGTTGATGTATTACTTTATTCACAAACACAAATACGTATTTTCCAACGCTATTAAGTATTTGAAGAAAAGTCTTTTCAATTTATAATAAAAACATCGTGATAGTATTCCTACACAGTGCGTGTCGTAGAAATAGTGACAGTTTTAAACAAGTGCTTGGTTCACCCCTACCATTTGTGTTTCCCACTATAGTAGCAACACCTTAGACCGGCCTCGGAGTGATGATAATGAGACTGTTTTGCGACTGTTGCAGTTCTTTTTGTTTAGCCCCTAAATAGAGTTAGATTTATTCATGAAATTCAAGAGCAAAGATGAAAAATTAGAACAATATCTACGATCTACAATCAAAGAGGAATTAAATAAAACCTACTTTATACACACGAAAACATACAGTTAGGCTATTTCGGTGGACAATATCCATAAAATGAGATAATATCCTGCACTAAAATAATGCGCTCATATTGTGGTAGAAAAGATAAGTACACGTAAGTGGGTCATGCAAGGCTATTCTTGCTCCATTTTCAAACGTGTTTACTTATATCAATTGCGTCAACGGTTGAAAGACTAAGTAGCAGTAGAGGTCCTTGTGGAAGAGTTTGTCCAAGGAAGTACTGTCACCTTATGTATTTCTGCCGCCAAGCAGTAATGCGAGCATTAGTGCGTTCTGGTTTTGTAGGGTGATATTACAGGCACATGTGACTTGTCAATTTATGTCTAAGGGTGACGGGTGCAGTGACAGTGCCCCTCAGATCTTCGCGAAGCTTTGAGTGGTACTGTACCTGCTATGGACAGGTGTGTCGCTTACCACCTGGAGTTTAGATAAGTCCTGTATCGTAACTATCCTAACTTGTTATATATGACCTTATAATAAATAATATTATTATCGATGGATAAATGAGATTCAGAATACAGCATAAACGAAATTATGTTACAAACATGTAATGTATGTCCGGTTCTAAAAAAATGTTATACTTTTTACAATTTGTGCACTCCGCCCGCACTATAATAATCTCCGAAAGTTATTAAAAACTTAGAATGAGTTGGTGGATCGTTTATTATATGAGATGTTAGAATATCTAATAAAGATAATAAAGACAACATTGAGAATCTGATGTCGGTGCTTGATTGCTTATTTAGTTTGATGAACGAATCTCTTTGATGAATGAAGCTTTAAACTTTTTATGTCATAGGCAATCATAGGCAATACTAGTTATTTGTTTAAATAAGCAAGATATAAAATACAAGAAAAGCTTTAATTGCTTCAAAATAGAGTTAGATGCGACACTGCGGCGCTCGTAGAAACGCTGCGGTGACGCATTTGTAGCGCAGCAAGCGCCACAGCCGTGCCAATACTGATGTTCATACAATATCTACTCTGCAAAAGGAGCGCGGCTGTGGCTCTGCAACTGCGCTTCTAAATATTGTATGAGAATTAGTAGTGGCGCGACTGCAGCACCACAATGATGCCACTGCACTGCTTCTTTAAGCGTCTAATTTGAAGGCTCCCAAAGCCAGGACCATATAATATGGTCCTGGGTCTACGGGGATAAATGAATAAAATTGGATCCCCGTGGCAGAGGGCCTAAGATTTTGGTGGTAATTCCTAAGATGTTGGCAATACTTGATCATCACCTTCTTTATAGTGACTTTGGCATTAATTTTCACAATTAAATATCGCTGCTTATCTATATGTAGTATCTCAATTTGTATTCCATTTAAGGAAAATATTTCTAAGTTTCCATTATTAAGTATTCAATGACGCCTGCTAATCGTAAAAATTTCACGATTACGTTACAAATCTGCATTCTGATCAGGCTTTCGAAACCAGTCGTATTACTTTCTCTGAGTCCCAATGTTGCGATTCCTTTGCTTACCATAGCCATCACTAAAACGAGAACTGGAGACTGCCACGCAGAGGTCCTAGGTTCGATTCCCGGGCCGGGAGAAATATTTGTATGGCCTACATTTATTTCTCTCGTGAGTTTGGGTGTAATTTGTGTTTGTCTATGTATGTGTCCATGGCACCCGCGACACAGGGTTTCCCTAGTGCGGGGCTATGATGAGTGTGTGCGTTATTATTATATAAAAAAAAAAAAAAAAATTGGAAATAATTTTTCCAAAGTATTAGGTAAGGATATCTTATCTAATACCATATTTAAATCTCATTCACGTATACATTTTTTAACAATTTACTGTGAATTTATTATTTCCGTCACACTATGAGGCATTTCCACATCGCAGCCTATGGCATACACTAGCCCGACACTAGCCTCTTCAAAGAACATCCAAACAGGTTGAAATCTAGACGCTTTGCTCAGAACTTTAAATCGCAAAGAATTTGGGGCACTGCCACTGTGTCCGTCACCCTCAGACATAAGTTGACAAGTCCCTTGTGCCTGTAATTTCATCAGCAGCATATATTCCATATTATTAAATATCCTTTATTACTTTTGCATTATTTAGTAATAATTCCTTGATTTGAAAGGTTTCTTTCATTCTTATTTACTGTGTATGCGTCAAATAATTCGTCAATCGCCCATTTTCTTTAACTTGCTCATTTGGAAATTTTCATTACACGACTGTTCTAAATTATTGTTCAAGTTTTTTATACATAAATATGAGTAGTTACTGCACAAGGTATCTCGCTGTTTTATCTGTTACAATTGACCATTACCTCTCATTCACTTGCGTTAAATTGTTATAGGAAGGAAGACCGTAATTAAAAACTTTTCTTTGTTGATTGTAGTCGTACAATTAGAGACATTACCTACAAACCTTGGGCGATAACAATACTGTCACGGTAGAAGGGTTACTTCGTAATAATATTTCCGCAAATAATAAAGTGGTAGTCAGTTCTAGTAGATAATCAATTATAGTAGATATTTACTGACTTGATCGCACTATGGAATCCTACTAAACCAAATCATATTTGTTTTGCTGTACTTCTTTTGTAGGGGCATGTCGACATTAACAAATTTAATTTATAGCAGAATCATACTTGTAAAATTGTCTTTACTGCACCAATGAGTCAATCGTTTCGTCTAACCTTGATTTCGAATAATGATTTGCCTTAGCGTGTTGATAATTAGTTTGTTTTAATGAAATAAATACTTGGTGCCCATAAATTTGCAGCGGTGCAGATCTTTTTCTTACTGTGATTGTGAATATCGGTGAAATATGACAGGTTTTGTAAAGGTGGGCTTTTCTTTCTAAATATTTAATAAAAAATCCTTAACATTTGGTCAATGTAGCGCCTCACTCATTATAGGCTAGTTTTAATTGTGAGTATACTTTGTGTTTTGCGCTATCTTGCCCAACCCTGTTTCTTCCATTAAGTGAAACAGGGTCTTCAGATTGGAGTTCTTGATAGTTTGAACACAGACCTCAAGGCTTTTGTAGTGCCTGTACCGGGTAAAGCGAGTTGCTGTTAACTCAATTAGGATGGAGGAAATTCGTCGTATTTCTTTTGCAATTCATATTGCCACTTAAGCAGAGAAACTTAAGCCTGTTCCGTATGTACAAAGTGTCACTGTATACTATAATGTTCGGCTTCTTCACGTTACAAATAAATGAATATTTCCATTCAATAACATGTTTAGACTCAGAGTTTTGCCATAGAATTCGTTAATTTTATAGGTTGAATGTTGCGTCCTTTCTTTAAAAAGGCCTTTAAATTCAGCAGTAAGTTTGCATGCTTTTGCTTTTCATGTAGTGAATTAGAGCGTAATTTGGTAAATTGTAACAAGCTGTGTTATTTTTATTTTCAGTTTTTCTCCTGCATCTTTATGGTGAACTTTGCAACAAGTTCACCATTTGGTGAGTTTAGTCTAAAGAAGAATTACAATTTTGAGTTCAAACCTCTTCCATTTAAGCCGATTCACTTTATTAAGGAAAAATGGTCACCATTCGGCATATTTGGCGTGAAACATGGAATACAGAAGAGAGATTTGGACAAGATTGTTTCAGCCGAAGAAAAAGGAATGTTAGAACATAGGTTACCAATAGAAATTCATGAAGAAGAACAATTGGGGCCCGCTACGTTCCCAAGGCATGAATTAGGAAGAGTTCCAATTACGAAGTCCCCTATTGGGCCTAACTATTTAAGTCGGCTTGAGCATGTTGAAATTGAACCGGTTCCGGCGCCTCCCCCAATTGAAGTGGTAATTACCCCTCCTCCACCAAAGGTAGAACCTATTCCAGGTCTTCACACAAATATTGTTCGTGATCAATTCATAGAAAGTTATCTGAAGGAAATTGGACCTGAAGTTCATGAAGAACCGTTACATCACGAAGAATTCAATAGCGTAGAGAGGACGCCAGTCCCTAAAATGGAAGAACCTGGTCAGAACGAAGCTAGTCCTTTTGTGAGAGGAACAAAATTAGTGCTTTACTTTGGTAATCTGCTTCTAGATATAATGGCACGATTCTTAGGTAGACCAGTCGCCCCAGCAAAGGAGTGACATTTAAAGCAGTCAAATATAACGTCGTGAATGACGATTTAATAGCTTTGATTCGGTGACAACCTAGGCTCATAACTAGACTCTGAACGTAGTTAGTAATAATAAATTATAAGTGTACAAAATTTATGCTCAAAAGTACGAATGAGATCCGAAAATAGTAGATATTAAAAATAACTTATTTATTTCAAAAGAGGATTAATTAGTCTTTAATTACACTAGAGCCTTTAATTAGGTGTTATCGTCCATATTCACCATGTGTACCTCCTCCGAACCCACCCTGAACAGGGCCAAATTCTTCGTGTGGTCTAAAAGCACCATGCGGACCAAAACCTCTTTGCGGCCCAAAACCTCCGTAAGGTGCAAAACCTCCGTGTGGTCCAAATCCTCCTGGAGGCCTAAAGCCAGGTCGTCCAAATCCACTTGGACCAAAACCTTGATAGCCTGGCGCATAAATTGGTCCATGATGACCGAACCCACCTCCACCATACTGTGCTATTGTTATTGACAGAATCGCAGCTGCAATGGTTCCAAAAAGTATCATCTGGAAATAACAATTTTATAAAACATTTCACCGGATTTGTCTCTTTAGATGATTTATAATTAATTAGATATAATAATATTGTTGGATAAGTAATTGACGGGATTTTGCATTCACTGTGTTATTTTATATTTTTACACGGAATTCTTCTCGTGAAGTTTATTTTCCACAAAAATAAAAGCTTACAAAGAAATTTTTTTTTTTCAAAACATTAAATATACTTACTTTGGATGCTGTTTTACAACGATGTTGGTACGAGACTGATGACTTTCGTTAAAATAAATTCGTTTTATATTGTCGCCAAGGATCCACCAATGAGCCGCTTGTCTAATCGGTTTCCGTGATTATACAGCCAAACTCAAACTTTTTTGTCCCGAGTCAAATCCACAAAAACTTGAGAATGTTCACTTACACCTTTCGTTTTGGTTTTTCCGTTTTGTCCTTTGCAATAATATCTTTTTTCATGACTAGTGTTTCCTAGTTGAAAAAAGTTAGCATTGACGTTTATAACTTTCTTTTACTAAGAACACTGAACATTAACGTAAAAATTTGTATTTTTTTATGATACTAAGTGACGGGACGACTTGTTCAGTCGTGCGCCTGATGGTAAACGACACGCCTATCCATAACAGTTGCGGTGCTAATCAAAGCTTTAGCTCTCACACAATCACTGCCTTTGCGCCCATCACCATGAGACATAAGTTGAAAAGTCCCATGTGCCTGTAATTTCACCAGCACCCTTACCTTTCAAAACCGGAACGCAGCAATGCCCTGCTTGGCGGCAGAAATAGGTAAGGTGGCAGTACTTCCCCGGACGAACTCTTTCACAAGGAACTCTACTGGTACTAAAAAAATATTTGTTCTTTTTGCAATATTGTACAAAGTTTTTGTGAAAATTGCTGTTTCTAACATACTGCATTATTTTTTTGTAATCTGGAGATAACTGACTGATTCATTGAATATTTTTTCATCTGGAAATATTATTTACAGGTTATCGTTTATTTATTAGAATTTCACTTACTTATATTGGCCAGACAGCTACACCAATTACCTGGTCTCAAAAAAGAAATTCTCTGTACTATGAGTACCAGAGCAACGGAGTTCAATTCGGGGCACTACCCGGAATACCCAGACCAGAATCAATTTAGAAAAGTTAATTTCCCAAATTGGTCCTACCGGGAATTGAACCTGGGATCTCCGGACCCAACGCCTATAGTGCTAACTATTGGACCATCAAGGTTGTTAATATGCTATGTTTTCGAATACATTGCTATATCATTAGTTCTATTAAAGTCCTAACATTAAACTGTTAAATACTGACTCTCTATTCCATAGCCTGTTATTTTGTAAACATTAAATATCATATTTGTTTTTCTACCTTTTTGTTGTTTAATTTGTCAATTAATCAATGTTTATGAAATTACATTTGTCAATTCTTATTTCATAAACCATATTACAAAGGCGCTCTTTTCAGTTCTGAATCAAAATTCTATCGTTTATGGTACTCGCTATTGAAATGGAAAAACAAAAAAATAACGCAGTATTTTCGCTAATTGTAAGAGTCCCTTTAAACGCGTCACTGTATTCCTAAACAGAATAACGTCACTATATTTGTGAAATCATTAAATTCTAATTATTTAGTTAATATCTCAAAATTATCTTATCGGCATCGAGTATATAACCAGAAATAGAGACGAAATAAGGGCTATATATTCCTGGTAACACATTAGCGATACAGCTCTTATAAATAACAAGTCTCGTTTGCACTGAAATATAGACAGGCCAACTACTGACCCGTGTGTACGTCTCCGTATATTCCAAAAAATATTCTGTATTTATTGTAATAAAGATCTGTAACAATGCCGTGCTGTTCTATTCGGTGGTATGGGAAAGATAGCAAAACATGTAATTACAAAACAAACTGAATCACATTTCATCGGTAATGAAATATTAAATATGTAACTTTGCAATTTTCGTCCATTATAGCAAAGCTCAAGTTAACTGGACGATTTGAAGTGAAACAGTTGACGACACCTGTCAATTGTCTCAAACTGGGGCTAGCCAATCAGAGCGCAGTTGTCACAGTAATGATATAGCAGAACAGTTTTCAAACAAATTAAATGACATTTCGTCTCTATTTCTGGTTATATACTCGATTCTCATCAGGTTCAAAACCAATTGGCAGATTATAAGCGGTACTTGGCCAATCACGGACACTTCTATTCTATCTCTTTGGTATTTTAGTAGCGTTTGTTTGGCTTGACATTAAATATTGATTGTTTTTTTCAATTACTCGTAGAAAAAGTATTGTATGCAATCATTACATAATTAGGTCTTAAATTCTTGTACTTATAACTTACGGTACTCGACTTTAAGAACCCTCATTTGGCAGCGATTGCATAAAATACCATTTTATTGTTATTATATTAGTAGGCAAGTTGATTGATTTATAAAAGACCGCTACAAAAATAAATTTAAAGTTTAACGATAGCTATGTCCATTTAACTGTACATCATATGTAATAATAACTAAAGCGCGGCTATGTGAGAAAATAATTTTTTGAGAGATCATAAAAAACCTTAACCCAGTTTTAGAATATTGAAATTGTTTAATGATATTTCAGTTACGGTAATTTCCGATAAGTCGTACACGTTAACTAACTTTAACTGTTAGAGAGTTTTGTGCTCTATATTTTGCTACATAAAACGGATATTTGACCATTTGTCACTTAGCCGCGTTTTGTATAGTGGACGGCAGATAAAGTAATGTATGTATCATAAAACTGAATATGTACGTTTGCGCAACTCTAATAAAAAAACAATTCCACAAGTTTCAAAGATCATGAATTATCCATGGGATCAAAAAGATCATAATTTACATAACACGCTCAATAAAATAAAACACATATATACTTACATACCTTTTAATTCCACAAAAACACGAATTGTAAAGAAAGCAGATGGTAAACCAAGGATATAATTTATTTATCGTGATTAACCACGCTGGCCGCCTTGACCTTGCCCAAAACCACCTTGGCTGCCGCTACCGCTTCCACCCTGTCCTGGTCGCCCACCTTGACCAAATCCTCCTTGGCCCTGATTACTACCAAAACCACTCTGCCCTGGTCGGTTACTCTGCCCAAAACCACCTTGATTGCTTCCGAAACCACCCTGTCGGCTACCCTGACCGATACCTCCCTGATTTTTTCCAAAGCCACCCTGCCCTGGTCGGCTACCCTGCCCAAAACTTCCTTGACTACTTCCGAAACCACCCTGTTGACCTTGGCCGAAACCTCCCTGATTGCTTCCGAAGGCACCCTGCCCTGGTCGGCCACTTGAACCACTGCTACCTCTTTGGGCTGATGCAAAGGCAATAAGTGCCACAATAACGATGAGAAACACAGTCTGTAAAGAGTTTAGTTAATAAAACAATTTGTATATTTATGAATAAACATCGCGGTCCGTTGTGCTGTAATATTAATTATTATATTGTGGTATTACATGTGAACTTTAGAATATAAATGTAACTAATAGAATATTACAAGATAGACCTATACAAATCGTACCATTGGTATAATAAAGCCACATTTGACCATACGTGCTTTTAATAATACGAATATATGAAACAAATTTGTATATTGTATGTAATTTTATAACTACTATTTAAGCATAAAAGCTATTGACTAATTTAGTTTATTCATTAATAAATAAAATAAAAATAAAATAAGACTGACGTTACCCTCTTTCCGATAAAAAAAAAGAATAATCAAAATCGGTTGACAATTTATCATGTATTCTTATTTATTGTTCTATTTTTTGGAGAAAATAAAGTATTATTATTAAAAAAATACAGTCGAATTGAGAACCTCCTCCTTTTTTAAGTCGGTTTAAAAGATGTCATTTTATATGCGATACTGAGGGTCAGAAAACTATTTATTACACCAAGGGCGCGAAATATCTTGACATAGTGTTAATGATTACAATATCCATTACATAGAAATAAAGATATGTAGATTTATCTGAGCACTTCAATTTTCATTTTCAGAAAATTGACCTCAGAATTACTAAATAGATACGACTTATGGAGTTAGCCTGACGGTTACATGTGAACTTACCTTCATTGTAACTTTTGTTTTTAATACACAACAATATTGCGACTACTTTGAAACCACTTTATATACTAGTGCACTTACAACATGAATGTCAATAATGGTCATATTTTTCCGAGCGTAATGAGATAATCGTTCAATTGAATGCTGTTCTCAAAGTGTGGCAATTTATAAATCCTTGATGATGATTAATTAAATTTTTTATTGAATTGATATTCAATTATTTTTTGTGAAATTACTCCACTAGTTTGTTATAATTATTAATACAAAGATCGAACACTCAGAAAAAAATCCTTCGATCCGGTCGGATTCGAACCGAGCGACGTCTTCTTGCGTACCGTGCCAGACGCTATACCAACTAAGCCACGGAACGAACCAACGGACCTCACGAATTTTTTTATGTGCTTGCGTCGTGTCTTTGTACTTGGTCTTTCAACGACTTTTTAGTCGTAACGCCATGTATGAGAAATCTATGACAGATTTATAGATCTAGAGATATAGATCCTTGATATTATTGTGAAGAATGAACATTCTTCTTTTTAAGTACGGTTGACCACATCTAAAGATGTAACATAATGTGCTAAAACACTATGTTGAACACCTTATGTCTCATATCAACGAATATATGTCCCATTACGGGAGAGAAAAAGGCCCATAGTCCACCACACTTGCAAATGCGGTCAGGGAAATCCCAACTGCGAACTTGTAACTGCCTCCGTGGCTAAATGGTTACCATGCTGGACTGCCACGCAGAGGTCCCGGGTAAATATTTGTAGGTATGGCCTACATTTATTTCTCACGTGAGTTTGGGTGTAATTTGTGGTTGTGTACCTATCTGCGTGTCAATGGCACCCGCGATACAGGACTTCCTTAGGGCTGTGAGTGTGTGCGTTATTTAATTTTTTTTATTTAAACATCTTCCAAGAGTTTATGTAAACCTTCTCCGACATGTATCATAGATATGGTTTCATCGCGATATTTATCTGTGATAATTAGGAAGCTGAAGTGCATATCATTCGAAAAGACTTGGTAGTGTAGGGTCTAAAGTAAGAAGTTCTACTTGCTACGTTATCACTGCTGCTTCATAAGCCTTTTACAAATCTTATAGCGTTCACATTTGCAAATTATCTGCAAATGTGAACGATAGCGTTAAAAAAATATAGTTAGTATAGTGGTATAGTTTGCTGGTGGACAAAAACCTGTCCCAAATGACACCTTTGCCTTTGCCTTCATTCTTTCTTATTTAGCCTCTACTTTAATATATCTTTTTTCTTTTTTTTTTTTTGACGGGGTAAATCTTCATGGATACCCCTGAGCCCAGGGAGACTCAGGGGTTATGTGGGGACCCTCCCTCCACTCTGGAGGGCCTACCCCACTAAAACCTCCCCGGGTTTCCCTCTCGCCGGTTGAGTCGGCGCCGTGGGATCAGTGAGCATTCACCACGACGCCGCCCGGCCGCCCTAGCTTACGCCAGGGCTCCCGCGCCCGGTCCCACGGGCCACTGTCGTACCACCTTGTGCAGGTGCTGACCGGGCACGGCTGCTTCGGTCACTACCTGCACAAGGTGGCGAGGAGGGAACAGTCCCCGTCGTGCCACGAGTGCGGCGCTGCGGATGACACCGCGCAGCACACCCTAGAGGTGTGTAGCCGGTGGGATGAGCAGCGCCGCACTCTGACGGGGACTGTAGGGCAGGACCTCTCGCTGCCGAGCGTGGTTGCCGCCATGCTCGATAGCGAGGATTCCTGGGAGGCGGTGGCCTCCTTTTGCGCAGAGGTTATGTCGCAAAAGGAGGCCGCGGAGCGGGTGCGCGAGGACGCGGCAGACGCGCACCCGCTCCGGCGCAGACGTACGGGGAGAAGGCGAAGGCAGTTCGCTGCTCGCCTGATCCCCTAGTAAGACCAGCGGGCTCTGGACAGGGACTCCGGAGTCTGCATTGCACGGCCTCACTCGTCTGGAGGGTGGGTCGGAGGACAACCGACTCGCCCCTCCGTTGGCGCGGGAGCCCTGGCGTAAGCTAGGGCGGCCGGGCGGCGTCGTGGTGAATGTTCACTGATCCCACGGCGCCGACTCAACCGGCGAGAGGGAAACCCGGGGGGGTTTTAGTGGGGTAGTCCCTCCAGTTTGGAGGGAGAGTCCCCACATAACTCCTGAGTCTCCCTGGGCTCAGGGGTACCCATAAAGATTTCCCCCCCGTCAAAAAAAAAAAAAAA